CGAACCGCGTGGCCACCGAGCGCGATATTTGATCAGATGCAGTTGCGCGCGTGTTGTGTTGCGCCAAGAGATATCTCCAGCTGTAAATGTAATCATTTCCGATCGCCTCGCCCACGAGCTTCTGGTCACGGACGCGGGGGCCAGGGCCGCGCGCCTCGTCGAGCCCGCTGAGCCCCCCGGACTTTCTGATTGGTTGCGCACGGAGCTGGCCGAGAAGCGCCGTTGCCAGATCAAGGGCGGCATCGCTGCGAGGGGGGGCGAGCGCCGTCGGAGCCGTCTGCGAGGACGGGCTCAGAAAGTGAACAAAGCTGCCCAGCATCGGTCTCCATTTGACAAGCGGGCGAGGCTCTCGGGCAGTCGAGCCCAGGGCCAAGCCGCGCAGGAGCCGAACCAGGTCCTCCAGGGCCTCGTTGACGATTCAAAAGCCAATTTCCACTGGCAAACAGTTCGACGGGCCCAGGACCGGGGATTTCCTCAGGAGCCAGGCCTCCAGGCTTCGCGTCGTGATCTTCCTCCGCTCACGTTCAAGTTCTTGGGGCCTCTTGAGGCGCCAGGAAGACTTGGGCCTGGGGCCTGATCGTCTTCGACGCGCAGCTCGGCAGCGCGCGCAGTCGGGCGCCGAGATGCTTTTTGAGAGCCTGCAGTGGATATTGCAGGGCTCTCTCTGAACCAGAACTTCAACTAGCTTTTCGGGGTTTTGATTCCCACTGGGGCGAACGACGCAGAAGGGGTCTTTCGGGGCGTCGGGGGCACGAGGCCTCTCGGGCTCAAGAATGCGGGTTGCGAGCTGATGGCTGGAGCTTGCTGTCTCACGCTCTCTCGTCGCGCGCCTGCTGGACTCGACTCGGATCAACGTGGATTTCTGCCTGGCTGAAACCTATGTTCCAACATCGTGGAAATGGATGCGCATCCGAGGGCGTGCCCCATGGGGCCCGCGGCGTCGCTTTTACTTTTAGTGGGGCTTGACATCGGCCGAGCTTTCCCGAGATTATGTCAGCGTTGGCTGTCTCTGGTGTTAGATGCGCTTGATCTCCCTCCACCCTTTGATCTCTCTCCGCCCTGACTTGTTCTAGAAGTGTCGGTGGCGTGACCCAGCGCTCGCGCTCCATCGTTGGAGTCCAGGGATGCCCTGATTCAGATATTCTCTTCAGTCCGGCGCTCGACCCGTAACTGTTAATTTTCCAGCGCGCGGTCGACGGCGCGAGCTGCGGTCGCGCCCGTGCTTGCGCCGGCGACGTCGGCATGGCGCCCGCTAGCATTGCGAAGGCCTCGCGGCCGGCGCCGCCGACCCTGAAGACGACGAAGATGAAAACGAGCGGGGGGGGGGGGTAGGAGGCGGAGGAGGAGGAGGAGGAGGAGGAGGAGGAGGAGGAGGAGGAGGAGTGGGGGGGAAGAGGAAGGGTGGGGGAGGTGGATGAGGGAGGAGGAGAGGGGGGGGAAGGAGGAGGAGGAGGAGCAGGAGGAGGAGGAGGAGGAGGAGGGCCCATAGCGATTTTGGCTCAAGCCGCGTCGCGCGGCCCTACCACCCTGGCTCGGCCCGGAATGGCGCGTCGCGCGGCAGGAATTGCGAGGCGCGGGCAAGGCGCGCCCGCGCAATGGCGCGCGAAGCCCGCCGTGGATACCAGCATCTCATGGTCAAGAGCAGCCCGGGCGGCGCGAGAGTGCAAACGGGCTGAGGCGAGAGCAGTCACAACAGCTAAGGTGCAGGAGCAGGCTTCGTTCATCGCCTCGCTTCAGCGTCGCTTATCATGGTGGGAAGAATGATGGCGCAACGTGCAGCTGGACAACTGGCAAAGCACGGGCGACTTGCTGCGGGGCCTCGTCGGCGCGGCCGACCTTCTGCAAGGCGAGGTCAACGCGGGGATGCGCTGCGCCGAGCCCGTCGTCGAGCAGATGGTCGAGGCCGCAGCGTTCGGGTCGAAAACGAACATCTGCGGAGCTGGACGGGCATCCAGAAACAATGCCGAGCACAACTTCGACTGGGCCATCCACGTCTTGAACGCGAGGCCGCAGGAAAACCAGCGCCGCGGGAACGGCAAGAAGCGCGGTGGCCGCATGACACCAGAAACCCAGAAGAGCAGCCGCGCGCAACCCACAGGAGCGGCGGCCCCCGACAGCATCGGCGTCTCCGTCATTCCCGCCAACGAGAAGCAGTCCTTGAATCCAGACAACACCGACGGGCGCGGCCGCGTCGGCAATGGCGCCCTTCGCTCCTACGCCAGCTGGCGGCCGAGCCTCCGCCCCCGGCCCAACAAGGAGGAGGTGGGGGACCAAGAGCGGAGAGCGCGATCGGCCGTGCACCGTCTTCTTCATGGTGCTCCGAGCAGCTCAGCTGTCACGGGCGCTGCTTCCGAGGGCGCCTTCGTTTCTTCCGGCCCCTTGCGCGGCGAGGGGGTGGGCCGCGAGCTCCACGAGACGAAGGGCTCCGAGGCGGAGGACGGCGGCGGCTTCGACGACGACGACGACGCCCTGGAACCTCCGCGCGGCGAGGGGGCAGGCCACGAGCTCCACGAGACGAGCTCTGCGGCGAGGGCGGTGGCAGCTTCGACGACGACGGCTCCTGGGGGCCCCAGCGCGGCGAGGGGCCAGGCCGCTGCGCGCCCTAGCGTGGCGAGGGGGCAGGCGGCGAGCGCCGCGAGACGAAGAGCTCCGAGGCGGAGAACGGCGACAGCATCGATTGCGACGACCTCCTTCGGACCCCTGCGCGGCGAGGGGGCAGGCCACCGCGAACCCTTGCGCGGCGAGCGGTTAGGTCGCATCAGCAAGCAGAAGGTCACCATGACACACAACATCCCCATCGACACCGAGAACTTCGACGAGCACTTCCCATGGCAGTCCCGCATCCTCGGCGAGAAAGCAGACAGCATCCGCTGCGTCCAGGCGGAGATTGGAGTGCGCGCGCCATTCGCGACAGTACAAGGGAAGGACGGCCTCCAATTGTTCATCGCAGCTTCGAGCGAGACCCACGGCGACGACTTCGACAGGGCCATCTTCATGTGCGAGGACCTCGTAGAGTGCGTCCGCACAGAGGCCGCCGAGTGGTCGGCGCACGCTGGCGCGACCACGGACTCAGACGACGAGGACCAGACCGACTCCGAGGAGGACCCCTGCGCGGAGAGGGGGCAGGCCACGCGCAGCCCATGCGAGGCGAGGGGGCAGGCCTCAGCCCTGCAGGGGCCCCCCGCGAGGCGAGGGGGTAGGCCTCCCTTCGACGCCCACGAGTTCGTCGACTCCTTCGTCTGTGTCCCTTGACGGGCGAGCTCCTCCACCTCAACCAACCTCGAGGACCTCGGGGAGGCAGGATGGGTAGGGGGAGGGCCCCCTCTTTGCGGCCACGTCTTTAGTTAGACTTAGGGTCGATATTGACAGGGTCTTGAAAAGGAGGAGGAGGAGGAGGAGGAGGCAGAGGAGGAGGAGGAGGAGGAGGTGGGGGAGCAACGAGAGGAATGCGGAGGAGGAGGAGGAGGAGGAGGAGGAGGAGGAGGAGGAGGTGGGGGAACAGCGAGAGGAATGCGGAGGAGGAGGAGGAGTGGGGGAGCAGCGAGAGGAATGCGGAGGAGGAGGAGGAGGAGGAGGAGGAGGAGGAGGAATGGGGGAGCAGCAAGGGGAAGTGAGTGGGAGCAACTAATTCTGGAGGCCTCGGCTCTCGACGGAAATGGGAGGGAGAGGGCGGGGACAAAACCTTTCCGAAAATCAATGAATATGGCCTTTCCGGACCTTCTTGAGAGTCCTTGCGGGGCTCTTTTGACCCATTTGAGGGCCTTCTTTGGCCGTCCTTGGCGTTTGGGGGCTGTTTCGTGGGGCTTAGGCCGTCTGGGGGCGCTCCTACAGATCCGTCTTGGCGACCCCCCCCCTCCAGCGCATCTACAGAGGGCCCCTCTGGAAAAGCCGCAAACGGGGGATGGCATTTTGACCCGGGACCCCCCCCGAGACCCTCCCCCCCCGGCGGGGAAGGGACCAAAAGGAAGGGGCTTCCCTTCGACTCAATGACAACGTTGTTAATTTCGCTTTGGCTGAGTTGCTCCATTTCGGTTTGGCGCGCGTGAGGACGAGGGCCCAAGGAAAGAGGAAGGCAGCGGCGACAGACCCAGAAAAGAAGACGACGAGTACGCACGAGGACAACAATCACGACGAAAAACGCATTCCACGCGCCGACAGGGTCGGCGGATTTCGGCGCCTACTGAGGTCGCCGCCGTCTGCGCCGCGGGTTCAGTGCACTTTGGGGAGCTCCCCGGGGGAAGGGGGGACGGGCTCAACCCTCCGGGGATCATTTCGGGCGCGATCGTGCAGCGCCAGCAGCCGAGTCAACAACAAAACAAGACTTCCATATTGCGCCTGTGCCTCCTCCACGTATGCCCTCCTGCCTCGTTGTCTCTGTTTCTGTCTGTGTGTGCGCGTGCTCGTGCGTGTGCGTGTGCGTGTGTGTGTATGTGTGTGTGTGTGCGTGTGTGTGTGCGTGTGTGTGTGTGTGCGTGTGTGCGTGGGTGTGTGGTGTGTGTGTGTGCGTGTGTGTGTGTGTGTGTTTGCGTGTGTGTGTGTGTCTGTGTGTGTGTCGTCTGTGTGTGTTGTGTGTGTTGTGTGTGTGTTGTGTGTGTGTTGTGCGTGTGTGCGGGGAGTGGGGGGGGAGTGGGGGTGGGTGGGCGGGTGGCTGTCTGGGTGGGTTTCTTTTCTCTCCCTCCCTCCCTCCCTTCGTCTCCCTCTCTCCCTTTCTTTCGTTATCATGGCATTTCTATGTTACCGCCCTGCCCACCCTTCCTGCCCAACCCCCCCTTTTCCCCCGCCTATGTTTCCCCTCCCCGTTCCTCTACCCCTTTCCCACCCTATTCCCTCTTTCCTCTCCTCCCCCTCTTTCCATTCCCTCTTCCCCTCTTCCCTCTTCCCTCTTCTCACCCCTTCCCTCTCCCCCCCGTCCCCTCTCCCCCCCGTCCCCTCTCCCCCCATTCCCCGTTCCCCTTTTCCCTTCCCTCTCCGGCTGGCCACCCGCTCGCGGAGCGGCACGCAGCATTTTTGGCCCAGGCCTCCCTCCGTCGGGCACCGCACAAACTGCCCCCCCCCCCCCCACCACACGAGCGGGCTCGCCCTGCCTATCCCCGCCTGTCGGGTGTTGCTGGAAGTTCCCCGGCCCAAGGTGGCCTCCAGAAAAAAATCCTCACGAGGCCCAGAGGGCCCCAGGGGCTCCAAAATGGAACGGTAAACTGGGGGCACCTTGGGCCCGGGGCACCTGTAGCAACCCCCGTCCCAGGGCAGTCCCCGCCTCCCGTGCATCGGCTACGCATAAGGGGGTGACCCTTCGCCGCAGTGACCTCCGGTGCGGGCCCACAGGGGTTCCCCCCAGCACCTGCTGGCGCTGTCAGACCCGGCCCGCCCGCGGACCCCTCGAGGCCGCGCCCCAAAGGCCACTCCTGCCCGGGGTCGCTCTTGCGTGTAGCCGAGTGCGGTCGCAGAGGTGTCGCCTCTGGGGAGGAGTCGCTCTTCCATCCGTGCCGGTCCTCCCCGCCCTCACTCCCCTCCCTCGCTACCCGCCCTCGTTCCCCTCCTCTTCCCCGAGCTCCTGCCTCCGCCCTGATTGCCCCCCCGCCCCCACATCCTCGCCCCCATCCCACACCTCTGCATCCTCCCTACGGGGCTTGCTTCTCGCAGTGGTGCAAAGGCTTGCGGCGCTGCGTGGGCATTGACGCAGTACGAGGCAGCAGGAAACTTGTTTAGGGCACCTCAAGTTTCGCTTGGCAGTGGCATCGTCGGCATCGCCGAATCAATACTTTGGACCATATTGAGGAGAATATCGGTGAGTTCGGCTGGCACGGGTTACTTCCATCCATCGTTGTTCGGCAAACAAGTTGGATGACCTTGGCTCGATCAGGGAAAAATCGCAGGTCGCACGCAGGGGAGTGTCGTAGTTCGGGGCAGGCACGCCTCCATTCGACGGAAGATAGGACAGTGCAAAACTAACTTTGGTCGTTTCCACGCAGTGGTCAATGACGCCAGAGCCGTCGCCCAAGATCCGATGGTCAATGGTGTTCCGAACGAAAGCCCAGTGGTGAGGATGCAGGCTGCTCGCGCCCAATGGAATATGATTCGGCAATACCCTCGCGATTCGCACGATGCTTGTTGAATCGGGGGTGGACAGAATCCCCAACAGTGACACGTCGATTAGTGAATTGTCCGTTTTCGGTTCTCGAGAGGGCGCCGTGGCCGTTATTTTCCAGGCTTGCGCCGGCCAGGTTTGGGCCTCAGGTCGTTTTCACTAAACCACGTTTTACTAAAGGGGGGTCTGTCCATCCCCGGTTGAAGGTTGCGCAGGAGTTGCGAGCTAAAGCCAGCGAGTCTCCTCCACAGCCGATCTCCCTCGAGCAGGCCGACGGCACCTTCAAAACATTACCGACCCAAGCGTGGGGAGCGTGTGTCCATCAGACTCATGATGCACAATGGCTATCTCGAGAAGGTCGCCGAACGTGTTGCGACTCCCTCAATCAAGCGGAGCAGTCAGGGACTTGGCCAGCGCAGTTGTTGGGCACCATATGCGCTCTCCTCCCCAAGCCAACGGGAGGGGAAAAAGTTATCGGGTTCTTGCCTGGGCTGGTCAACATTGGTCTCGCATCAGAACTCGGCATTGCGTCGCAGTGATCGAGCTCTTTGCCTGCGTTTTGGGACACCGCGCTACCCGGCAACAGTTCCTTAAGGGCGGCACTGCACTGGTCACTACTTGATGAATCAGCGGGCACATAGGGTTCGACCACTGGCACGTTGTTGCTGTCTGTCGCGGTTTTTCATGACTCGTTGTGACGGTTCTTCCTGGATCGTGTCGCTCATCTGTTCGAATTTCCCCGGGCAGTGGTCATATTAGAGATGCAGTTGCGCGCGGGGCCCAGGTGTCTCATACGTGCTCCAGAAGCAGCCGATGCAACGTTTTGCATCAGCATCCTCAGCGGCAGGATCACCACATGGCGTTCGCCTGGCGAAGATGTTCGTACATCCATTGGTGTCGGCAGCCAACGAGAAGCCCAGCTTCGCGACGTCCTGGAAGTTCATCGCTGACGTGGACGGGAGGGGCCAGAGATATTACAACGAGTCAGTTACACGATGTCTCCGTAGATTGCGTCGTGAGATCGCGACATGACAGCCTCGGCATCGTCGGACCCACGCGCTGGTCGGGCGGTGGAATAGAAGCCGAAGAGGAAAGGCGCCCCCGCGGGTTGCTGCTTGGATGTGGTGGACCTCGGAGTTGGCTCGCCGGCTTGGCGGATGCGCGCGGTCGAACATCTGGGGCCAGGTTGTTTGCGGGGCGTCGGAGGGCAGGTCGGATTTCCAGTTTCGTCGACACGCTCCGTTTCGGTCGGACGCCAAAGGGCCGTCGTCGGCGGGGGCCTCGCCGCCAGGCTCTCGCGGGCATCGAGCTCAGGGGCTTTCGCCGCCCAACGTCCTCGCGCTGCGGCGCCAGGCGGCTCATTCTGGAGCGGGCCCGACGCAAGGTCGGCGCTTCACCGCTGCGCCGGCGTCGCTGTTCGGACCCAAGGACCACTGTGCAGATCATTGGTATCGGTATACTTGGCGTCGTGGAAGGCCGACTGCCGCATTCATCGTCGGGTCGAGTTGGCCTGGCCCCGCGGACGCTTGGAATGCGCAGGCAGAAGGAGAGTAAGGTTAGTCAACGGGCTGGTCTCTGCAGCGAGTCCTAATTTGATGGTTGCCCGTTGGCAAGCTAGCAGTGCGCTCAGGAGGTGCAGGCCTGTCAATGACGCCGCGGAGGACTGACCGATTCCTGCGCCGACAGTGGCAGGTCACGAACCTACTGGTTTCGATGCCTTTGAGTTGCTGGATGATTTTGTCACGTATGTTCGGTCGCAAATTTGGAAGCTAGCGGCGTCTCTTCAAGGAGTCGGAGGGGTCGGTGGAGATGTGTGTAGGGCTAGATTGGAACCCAGTTCTTTTGCGAAGAACGGTGAACTTGGTAATGTCGGTTTGAACGCGCGCGTCCAGACAGGTGTTCAAGGGGCCAAAGATCGACGGCTTCTGCGGAGTCCCGCCGCAGAGAGACGGCGCCCCAGGCGCGGCGAAGATGATGAGACCCCTCTGCCACCTTATTGGGCGCTGCTTGTGCCGCAGAAACCGTGCAGACTGCGACCAAACTGGAGGATTAGTTCCTCGGGCCTTAGCGTCGCTGGAGTCTCGGCCATCTCTCTGCTTCAGAGGGGCCGCGACTACTGGGCTGGCCCATCCTGTCGTTGTTGAGCCCTTTGGGACCCTGGCAGGGCCAACTTGGGCTCGCGCTCGGCGCGCGAGTGCCCCTAGGTTCGAAGGCTCGGGCCCGGTCACGGGGGCAGTTTGTCTTCAGACACCCGCCGTCGTAGACGCGGCGCCGCTGCGGTCGTGCTTGGGGGAGCGGAGCCTGGAGATCACCGCCCATCAAACCACCTCGACCCAACCCGAAGGCCCTGATCTGACTTACATTTCTACTGGGGGGGACACATTGGAAAACAAAAAACACATACGAAGCCCGTGCCCCCCCCCCCAACCCGAACATCGGGCGAAATTCGGGTCTTCGGGTTGGGTTGGGATTGTTTGGTAGGCAATCAGGAGAGGGGTCCTTTGGCTGGATGGTTCAAGCCGGTGTTCCCGAGATCCTCAGGGGTCCTATCCACTGGGCGCCTCGCTCGGAGATCCCAAGCCTCAGCCCTGTTCCTGGAGGCCGCCGCAGGTCCCGCGCATCTTGCAACGGGGCACAGGCCGCTACTGGCTGGGTGCAGTCAGGGGCGACCTTGGAGGCTGGATGGGGAGGAATGTCGATTTGTGGCTGTGCATTCGTTGTACCTTAGATGCTCGAGGCAACGTTCAGGTCGCGGTCGAATGGGCCCCCTCTCACGTTTCGTTCGACGTTCCGGGCTTCTCGGAGTGCGAGCGCTTCCGGATCACAGGTTGTCAATGTGCTAACGAAACTCGGAGAACAGCGGGATGGCTCTGGCAGTTGACGGTTACCTCCGAGCTCCAGACGCACGCCCAGTGTGCCATTGCACTTCTAATCCGACGAAGAGCTCAGAAGGCGCTTGCTTGCGCCACCGCCGCGGACCCCAAGAGGGGCACATCGTCTTCGGAGGTCGACCGCCAAGGGACATATTCCATATTTGAGGTCGCTGCTAGGGAGAGCGCGCATAAGCTGTTGCCGGGGCCAAGGTTTTTGCAGCCAAGAGCGCAGCTTGCTATCCCGGGAGACAGACGCATTCAAGGCTTTGACTTCAGCGCGCGTGCCCGTTTTCGCCGTGCTCCAGGGATTCCCGAGGACGCTGCGGTTGCGGCCCAGGGGCCGATGCATGTCGGCGAGGTGGCGCCGGGCCTTTCCCATTCGCTTTGGGTTCTGGGATGTCCGCGATTTCTAAGATATTTTAGGCGCGGCCGCTGACGGCCGTCAGCTCCCCTGTGCGCTCCAGCTTGCCTCGCGCAAAGGGCTGGGAAACCTGTCCAGAGTGCGTGGAAGGATTGTACCCTGGTTGCGCAGGGCCGCCCAGAGCGGCGCGTGATTTGTTGCGCGCTCGGGTCGTGGGTGCTTCCGCCGCCGGAGCAGAATGCGCGTGCCCAGGCCACGTGTCTTGGGGCGCCTTCTGAGACGGTATCGTCCTCGCTCGCCGCGGAGATGTCGCAGCTTAGGAGCATTGCCTTGGCGTTGCGCAGGGCAGTTCCCTGTTCCGCTGCCCACGCCCGGAGGTGATTGCGCCAGCTCAGACTACGGTGGGTTCGAGGCGGCTTTGCTGCGGCCCAACACCGTCGCCCACCCGCTCTGGGCGCTCCCTCCGTGCCCTCCGGGAAGCCGAAGGAGATGGGTGTGCCCGCTCATCGAAGCAGGCGTGGGTGTGGCGGGCCGTCCACTTCCACAGCCGAGAACTCCCGCACGCTGAGTCGCAGACGCCCCAGGGAGCCCCGATAGGCTCTGGCCCAGGGGGGTCGTCCTTCCTCCTGTTCCGTCCTCCTCCCCCCTCCGTTCCCCCTCTCCTCTCTCCTGCTCCCGCTCATCCTCGTCCTCGCAAATTTCCTTGGGCTGTGGGGGGAGGGCGACGGAGGAGGAGAAGGAGGAGGAGGAAGAGGGGGAGGAGGAGGAGGAGGAGGAGGAGGAGGGGGAGGAGGAGGAGGAGGAAAAGGAAAAGGAAAGGGAGGAGGAGGAGGTGGAGGAGGTGGTAGTGGTCGGGGAGGGGCGCGGGGTCCTCGACGATGGGGGGGGGTCAGGGCGAGCCTGGGCGTACTGGCGCGCCGCCGCGCCGCCCGCCTGCCAGATGCCCGCAGTCGCACGCTTCCCCGACACCCATTGGGGGGGAGTTCCAAAGCGGGCGCATCGCCACCCCCTGCTGCGCCGCTGAACCTTCCAGGAAGGAGGAGGAGGAAGAGGCAGTGGACGAGGAGGAGGAGGAGGCGGAGGAGTTGGAGGAGGAGGAGGAGGAGGAGGAGGAGGAAGATGCGGCGCTGCGAGGGAAACGCCGCGCGGAACGCATGGCGAACACCTGTCGAGATGGGTGGGCCCACAGGGCCTCCATGCTCCCATGCCGCGTTTCCTCGCCGTCGGCTCTTGGGGAGCACGGCGACAAGGGGGATCCGAATCTGGCAGAATGCAGCAAACCAGCGCCACGATGTTTTTTTTCAAGCCCGTCCCCGTGGTGGGACAGGTTGGCCACATGTGGCCGTTGTGTTCTAGGACGAAATTAATTGACCATGAGAGACCAGGGGGACGGCTTACGAGGGTTCGGGGAACACTTGAAGCTTTGTGGAAAGTTATCCAGAATTCCTGGGCGTTTTTCCATGCCTGTTCTGCGCCAGATTTCCTTCCCTCGCGGGTTTCGGCTGCAGCTGTTTGTGGGTTTCCGCTCCCAGGTCGCGCCGTTGTTTTGTATCGAGCTTCGTTGTATGTCCGTTCTCTCTTAAACGCCCTGGCAGTTATGAGAGACATGGGGATGGGGAGTGATGGAGGGGATGGAGGGCGGAGGGGAGAGGGCGAGAGAGGGAGATGAGGGGACGGCTCGTGCTCGCATTGCTCCCCCCCTGCGGACGGCGCACAAAGGGTATCCTTCGTGGGACAGGCGCCCTCCACCTCCTCCTCTGGCCTCTCCCTCATCTCTCCCTCCTCCTTCCCCTCCTCCCTCCCTCCCTCCCGCATCTCTGCCCCACTCCTACCGCATCCCTCCTCCCCCCACCTCCCATCCTCCCGTCCTCCCTGCTCCCCGCCCTCGCCTCACTCCTCCTCGCTGCCACCTCGAGCCTCTCCCTGCTCCCTGCTCCCACCTCCAGCCCCTCCCTGCCTCCCCTGCCCTCCCCGCTCCCTCCTCGGGCCCCTCCGGGGGACGGGCCCCGTGCGCGCTCTCCTCCATCTCCCGCCCTGCCGGACACGAGGCCCTCCGGGGCCGGGCGAGTCCCACCACGCGCTCCTGTGCTTGCTGTGAACTCAGGAGGGGAGGCCAGGCTTCGCTGCCGCAACCTCGAACTCTCACTTTTGGGCATGCGGTTCACAGCCCAGAGCGTCGCCGGCGCCCCATGGCGGCCGCGGTGGCGGTCGCCTGCGGGCCGGGGAGGGGCGGTGGTTGGGGGCCACATGCGAACCCTACCCCTACCCCACACCATTTCGGAGGGGGAGGGTGGGGTTCACTTCGCTCGGGAGCTCTCGAACGAAGTGAACCCCACCCTCCCCCTCAGAAATCGTGGGGGGTAGGGGTAGGGTTCGCATGTGGCCCCCTAGTGGTGCCCATCACGGGGCCGGCGCGCGGCCATCCCCGCGGGCCTGCGCCACAGCTCGGAGGTCCGCCTCGGAGAGGTCCTTCCTGCCTCCTCGCTCCCGCACCTTCCCTCCTCCGGCACCCTCCTTCCGTGGCCTCTCCCTCCTCGCCTCCTCGCCCTCACCCTCGTAGCCTCCTTCCCTCCCATCCTTCTCCTCCTCCTCCTCCTCCTCCTCCTCCTCCTCCTCATCATCATCATCATCATCAACATCATCATTATCATCATCATCATCATCATCATCATCATCATCATCATCATCATCATCATCCCTGATCCCTCCGTCCTGCTCTTGGACGTTGGACACCTCATCGTCGTTGTCGTCGTCGTCGTCCTTGTCCTCTTCCTCGACTTGGGGCAGGTGGAACGGCGCCCAGTGCTACGGCGGCCGAGGCGGGCGAGCCCAGAACTGACCACCCTTGCCCCGTGCACAAGCACAAGGTGCATGCCCCCCCCCACCCATGGTGGTGGGAAGGGGAGGAAGACGAGGATAAGGAAGAGACGGATGATAATGATGATGACGATGATGATGATGATGATGATGATGATGATGATGCTCATGATGATGATGATGATGATGATGATGATGATGATGATGATGATGATGATGATGATGATGATGATGATGATGATGATGACGATGATGATGATGACGATGATGCTGATGATGATGCTGATGATGCTGCTGATGATGAATGATGATGCTGAGGAGGAGGAGGATGAGGATGATGATGCTGATGATGCTGATGATGCTGCTGCCGACGATTGTGGTTGTGGTTGTGATGATCACGACGATGCTGATATTGTTGATGATGCTGATGGTGATGATGATGATCCTGATGATTATGATGGTGCTGATGATGCTGATGATGATGATGATGATGATGATGATGATGATGATGCTGATGTTGCTCTTGTCGTTGCTGTAGTTGGTGAGGATGACGCTGATTGTGATGGTGGTGGTGATTTTGTGTATGCCCACTATGATGGCGGTGAGGTTACCGAGTGTGAGCCTGATGATGAGGATGAGGATGAGGATGAGGATGAGGATGAGGATGAGGATGATGATGATGATGATGATGATGATGATGATGATGATGATGATGATGATGATGATGATGATGAGTGCGATGAAGAGGAGGAGGAGGGTGGTGATTGTGATGGTGATGGTAGTGGTGGTGATTGGGCATGATGATGATGTGTATGATGTGTACGATTAGGTTGCTGCTGTTGATTATGACGATGTTGACGACGTTGAAAAGGATAGCGAAACATGATAACGAGGTATATAATATTGAGGATGAGGAGGTGTGGATCAGGAAGAGAAGACAGGACAAGGATTATCAGAATGGGAGACCATTACAATGATGAGCAGGGGGAGTAATGATACTCCTGATAGTAAGAACGCCCACACGGGGACGAGGAGGAGGAGGAGGAGAAGTTATAATGAGAGAAGGGAGTGGGGAGAAGGGAAGAAGGACGGGGGGTGAGGCGGGAGGCGGGAGGCGGGAGGAGGAATGAGGGAGCAGGGATGGGAAAGGAGGGGGGAGGGAGGAGTGAGGGGGAGGGAGGAGGGAAGGAGGGAGGGAGGGAGGGAGGAAAGGAGGAAGGGAGGGAGGAGGGATGGAGGGATGGGGATTTACATATACATTTTCGGGTCCAGACAAGCGCGGTGACCAGCAGCAAACTTGTGCGCACGACAAATCTCAACCCCTCACGGGGACGCCCATGCCTGACTTGAGAGAGGGGGCCCGCGAGGCAATCGGGATAGAGCCCCTCCCCGACCCTTACCAGTCGGCGGCCCACACTCCTAAGGCAACTTCCTCAGTTGTTCAATCCCAGACGCCTCGCACGCCAGACTGTACAGGACCCCGTGCGTGACGACCAGGAGGTGGGAGGGGCGAGCTGAGGGAACATGGGATGGTTCGAGGGGCCCCGCCCCTCTTGGACTTCAGCAGTGTCCAGGAGAGGGGAGGAGAGTGGCGCGCTGGTGCGGCGGGGCGCCGGCCCGCGGGCCGACCCCCCAGTGGTGGTCCACCAAGGTGAGGGTCGGGGGCTTCCTCCTCCTCCTCCTCCTCCTCCCTCCTCCTCCTCCCTCCTCCTCCCTCCTCCTCCTCCTCCTCCTCCTCCTCCTCCTCCTCCTCCTCCTCCTCCTCCTCCTCCTCCTCCTCCTCTTGGGGGGGGGGTGGCTCGGCCCGCGGTGGCCTCCAGGAGCCAGGGGCCCGGGAAAAACTCGGACAGCGGCGTGCACACCCGCGGCCAGCGAGGAGGAGGAGGAGGAGGAGAGCAGGACAGAACGGCCCCCTTGCGCAAGAAGGAGCCGTGATCTCGGGTACACTCAAACATGTTGGCTCTGAGCTGGGGATCGCGCGCAGCGGAGAAAAGGCGCATGCGTCGGGCTTCAAGAGAGGCGGCCCCGAGCGTCTCCTCGTAGCCCGCAAAACCTTCATGATGATTCACTTCGCGCTGGCAGGTCAAGCGCGCTCCCCGCTGGATACCTAGCAGGCGCAACGCATTCTTCTCCTGAAAGGCGTCGGCAGCCTGAACGGAAGCAACCGCCACGGCCGACACTTGACCCCTTCCCCGCTCTTTCATTCGCACAAAGGCCCGCGGCAGCATTCAGTAAGTACCCTACCGAGGACAGCTGCATGTTCTCTACCGTGCGTGGGGTCGGGTGGGACTTGGTCCAGCGGAGATAAACAGTGCCTGAACGCACCTGGATTCAGTCCCACACCAACACCCAGAGGTCTAGCATATAACTTTTGTCACGGGTAGTTTCTTCAGGGCCTTTCCAAACATTCCGACCGACAGAGAAGGTAACTTGTGAAGATCAGGGCATCGCTTTCAGTCACCAGCAGCAGTTGCAAACGGGCGAACATCTCAGCCCTGGGAAAACGCGGGGTTAGTGACGGGAGGGCCAAACACTCCGCCAGTACCTTCCTGCCCACTCACGTGGAGCACCATTGTATTCCACCCGCACCCTTCTCGCCGCCAGTCTTGAGCGCCCCCCCCACGCGACCCGTCGATCCCCCCCCCCCTCCGCGAACCACGGACACCCCTTGCAGGATTCCAAATGCCCATTGAGAGGCCTCGGGCACGGGGAGACCGCGAACAACCTGATCGAGTGACACCCGACTGCGGAGCCAGAGGGAGGGAAGGCGGTCGCTCTCTTGGATCGCAATCGGGGGCGAAGCTGGTTGTGGCCTGCACGGCCGAGGGGTCGCCTTGGTCATTGCACGGGCATTCTCTAGAGCGGTGCAGCGAGGCCTCGCTGGCCAGGCCGCGCCGCTGGCATTGGCGATTGGAGGCTCAGCCCGCCCCGAAAAGGCGGCGCTCGATCCAGGAACCCCAAACCAAGGCACTACGCAAATTCGCACGGGACCCAAACTGCCGATCACGACCAAATTTGTTCAAAAGCTGCTCGGGCGCAGTCATGTCCCCAACTGGTCCTCCATCCCAAGGCAATGCTGCGCAGCTGCGCCCCCGCCCCGCTCGTCGCCACCTGCAGTTCGCGGGGGCCCGCAGATTGAGACCGACGCCGGAGGCGCAGGCCCCCGAAATCCGAATCCGATCGGTAGTCTGCAGCCCTGTCTAGAGAGGTCATCAGACGAGGCGAGGTCCTCGAACCTCAAGCGGATAACGGGGCCCTCCTTCGCACTGCAGACAAGCGAGAGGATCGCAGCGTCACGGGCCCCAGGCGTCCACCGCCGAGAGCACTGGGCCGCCGGGCCTCGACGGGTCTGCAGCTGGCGAGGCGAGGGCCCCGCAAGCCGGTGGCCCCGCGGCCCGACCGCGAGGGCGCCTAGTTCATGCCGCCTGGAGGCTCTCTGCTACAGCAGCCCTCCGCCGAGCTTCAAGCCTCCGCCGACAAACCCCGGCGGCCCTCCGCCGACCTCCGGCCGCGGCGCAAGGCGGCCGCATCCCGAGTGGTACCTTTCAGTTGAATGGGTGGCCCCGCAGCTTGAGGGTTGGAGGCGAGCGGAGCGCCCGTCGCCTGAGAGAGGAGCGAGCCAGGGCACTCCTGCGACTGAGAAGGAGCCTCAGCTCCTCGACCTCGCGGCCGAGACGAACGACAGCAGGCGGGCCATGCGCTGGGCGATCGCTCGCCGCGCCATGTATGTATATTCATATATATATATATATATATATATCGAGAGATGGCATCCACATGAGCTGGGGTAACCACGCTGGGCATCTCCACGCTGAGAGAGTGCTGGCAGGGCCCTGGGGCCTCGTGCACATATACCCTGGCCCGGGGCATATTCTGGGGGCACCCAGGAGGCCCCCCCTGACCGGTAGAGATCATCTGGGACGCGCCCCCCTCGACCTTCAACATCTTGGGAGAGGCGTGGGACGGGCGTCCCAAGGTAGAGCAGATGCGGGTGGTGATCCATTCGCATAGCCAGACGGGTCAACTTCCATGGGCTCACCGTGCCACTTTTCAAAACCCAGTGTAACGCGACAGAGATGCTGCTTTCTCACGCAGCGGGTTTACGCAACAGCTCTCGCATCGACGATGCTTTCAACGCCAAAGACCCCTCGACGGCCGTATCTCAAGACGCAATGTGCCCCGGCGTCCGGCAGACGACGTCGCGATTTCGCATCCAAGTACGCGGCCGACGCAGCGGCGGGCATTTGCAGACAGGCCTCTCGCCAGTGGCATTCTTCAGGGGCAGAGCAATTAAACCGAGTCAGATCTGAACGAGCCTAGCCGTCTGGCGCTCGCACCGAGCATCGAGGGCAAACGAGCCCCTCGAGCGCCGAGGCCGGCAATTTGATGACTCGAGGCCCCCGTCCGTCGACCCCGGCAGCAGCCGCCGCAGGGGGGAGCGAACCGACGGGCTTGCAAATCTCATCTTCAAGAGGGGGGAGGTCATCCAACCTTCTTTCCAGAACAGCAGCGCGGAGGTCAGACATGGCGCCGCCCGATCTCAACCTCTCCTCGTTGGGCCACCGTAGAAACTGCCCCCCCATGCTGGGCGCGAAACCCAATGATTTCCTCCGGGGGCCGCAACGCATCGCCAGGGGGCATAAAAACGCAACGATGGCTTTAGCATCTTTTTCCAGCCGCGAGTGGACCCCCTTCGCTCCATGCGGGATGGCCTCGGCCAGCCAGTTCTTGAGGCCCTTCCTGGCCCCCTCCTTAGCTGCGGACCGAGCTCGCTTCAGAACCCCGGGGGCGGCCTGAAATGATCGGGCGGCAATTGGATATGACGCGCAGTGGAGATCGCCGGCGCTAGACGCTGACAGGGGGAAAGAAGAGCGACGACATCGGGGGCGCATCCCGACGAGCCGCGCAACGCCGCGCCGGCAGGGTTCACCGCGCGCGTAGATCCAGAGGGCGCGGCGGCTGCGGGCTCCAAGGCGATGGAGCTGGAGGGGGAAAATCGGTC